GTCCTCCTCCTCCTCCTCCTCCTCCCTCCTCCCTCCTCCCTCCTCCTCCGCATCTCCTCCTCCTCCTCCTCTTCCTCCTCCTTCTCCTCCTCCTCCTCTTCCTCCCTCCTCCTCCTCCTCCTCCTCCTCCTCCTCCTCCCCTCCCTGTCTTCGTGCGCCCTCCTGAGGTGTCTTGGTCCAAGGTTGGGTCTCGCAACCCACAACAGCAACCCTGCGAGCGCATGCGCCGTGCGGGAGAAACAGACGGAGTGACAGGCGACGACGCCCAAAACATCGTGAATGCTTGTCAATGCCTTTGGCTGTCAGGCATGCTCCCCCTCGCCTCCTTGCCAGACTGGCGAGCGCCCGTGGATTGATGGGCGACACGGGGCGAACAACCCGAGTGGCAAGCGAAGGAACCCACGCTATCCCGAATGCCCAACCGTTTCTTGGAGGTTCGGGTGCGCGCTCCGAAGCGCACCGACGCCCAATACATCCAGGGTGCCCTGCAGTCTGCAGTTCCCTCGAGACTGCTACAATCTTCAACGCCAACCTCGAACCAACGAAACCCAGGGACCGTGGCGAAACATAGGGTGTTTATTGCCATGCGGTCCGGCTTTGATACTCATATCGTGCATTTGTGGCAGGGGGAGGGAGAGAGGGAGAAGGAGGAGGGGGAGGATGATGAGGAGGAGGAGGAGGAGAAGGAGGAGGAGGAGGATTAGCAGGACGAGGATCAAGAGGAGCAATCTGAGCAATAGGAGGAGGAGCTGGAAGAGGAGGAGGATGAGGAGCTGGAGGAGGAAGAGGAGGAGGAGGAGGAGGAACGAGGATGATTATGCTGATGCTGCTGCTGATGATGATGATGATGAGGAGGAAGCGCAGGAGGAGGAGGAGGAGCAATAAACAGTCAAGCAGCAACGTCGGACGCTGGGGCGACTGTGGTTCCGCACGCTATCGGGGATGCACGCCCTATGCTTCGAGCACGACGTGATCACGCAACGATGTTTTAAGAGTAGAGCTCTGGAGAGAAATGGGGGAGCAGGAGGACGATGAGGAGGCGGATGCAGGATGCGGGCAGCTCAAATTAAAGGCAATGGTGGCAGCGGGGATGCCTGGAGCCATCTGCCCACGTCTCCACGCCATGTCCTTCTTGCAAGTCGTCGATCCACTGCCCATCGTAGCAACTGCCGTCCACCTGATCTGGCAAGGCCCAAGTGCGGCCAGAGCGCACTCGAGTTCTGAAGCGCGTGCGTGTCCTCTTCTAGAAACTGCAGTAGCCAGCCCTCAAACCATGCTCATGCTGACAAGCCTTGCTCGTCGAGGCTTGCTATACTCCAGCAGAGGGCATGTGATCCCAAGGGCTAGAGATGGTGAGTTCGTATCAGCCTGGCGAGTATTCACGGTGCTCATGGATCCCTTGCCTCTGCGGCTCGTCGACCGTCCTGGACGTTTCTGTGATAAGCAGTATCTGCGCATCCCAAGGGCTGCAGAAGCCTGCAGGCTCCTGCTTCTCCAAATGAAGAGGAAGAGGAGGAGGAGGACGAGGAGGAGCCTGGCGGGCAGCTGAAGAGAGTAGAGTAGTGGAGGCCGTCCGTTGAGAGGAGGATGAGGTGCCTCTCGGTCAAGCTGCCCGTGCAAGCACCGCGGAGTCTGCTGACTCCGATTGAGTCCCAGGCCTCCTGGTGACTCTGTCATGCTTGTGAGTCCAAGGAGGCATGTATCAGTCATTGTATCAGTGAGGCGACTCTACACACAAATACCCTTCAGGCAATCAGTGGGCAAACCCACTACAAAATCCGACACATCAAGAAGGGGCGGGGAACATCAAGCAAGCACAAGTGTTTTCAAACACCAGCCCCTTCCAACCAGCAAGCAAGCAAACAACTACGCATTTACAAATCCCCATTAACGAAACAAACTGAAATAACGGACAGACTAAAACTCCGAACGAACATGATGAATCAAATGTTTCACTTCTCTTCCGGTACGCCTCCGCCGCCAGGCCCCCGCGCAAAGCGCCGTCTCGAATACCACTGCCGAATAACGCGTTCAAGTTCTGCTTCGCTGCGCCCCGGCCGCCACGGCCCCGCGCGCAGCATAGCCCCGAACGACACTAATGAGAGCAATGTGTTCAGCTCATGCTTCGGCGCGCCCCCACCGCCAGGACCCAGCGCCAAGCGCGACCCCGAACGACAACGACGAATGCTGCTCTCAAGTTCTCCTTTGGCGCGCCCCTGCCATGGGGCCCCCATGCGGAGCACTGCCCCGAACGCCAAGGACAAGCATTCCGTTCCATTGCTGCTCTGGTGCGCCCCCGCCGCCAGAGCCCCCACGCGGAGCACTGCCCATAACGACACTGCCGGGTAATGCGTTCCTTTTCTGCTTCGGCACGCCCCCGCCGCCAGGGCCCCACGCCCCGAAGTTGCCCGAGAAGGCCCCGAAGCCGAAGCTGTCCCGATGCATCTACAACATGGCCTCAGCATTGCGAGCTCCCTCATGGGTCCCTGGAGCTGTCCAGTAGGGCTTCCCAGGGCCTCTCACGGAGCTGGCCGCTCAATGCCCCCCGAAACTGCGCGGAACTCGACGAGGCCTGCCCAGACTCCGCAGTGCCTACCGGGACTTCTCCACGCCTGGGCCCCAGGAGGTTGGCGGCAAACAGCCCCTTCAGGAACTGCTCCCCGCAGCTGCCAGAAGCCCCGTGGGAGCCTCGGGGGAGATCGGGGGAGCCCCAGGGCGCCCCTCAGGGTGGCCCCACAGAGGCTCGTAGGTGCAGCAAAGCCGGGGCCGCCAGAGCAGCAAGCAAGCCGAGGGCCCCGGCACCCCCCGCACCCCCTCCCAGAAGAAAGAGCGGCAAGCGGGCAGACACGCCGGGCCAGACCCTTGAGCCTGCAGCATGGACGGCTGTGGGAAAGCGAACGTCCCCCCCCCGCGCCCCCGCCGCGTTTGACATTCCCAGCCTCTTTGAGGCTTCTGGGCGTAGCTTGATGGGGACCCCCCACCCTGCAACATCTTCGCTGGGACCCCCCCCCCGCGCCCCCGCCGCGTCTGACATTCCCAGCCTCTTTGAGGCTCCTGGGCATAGCTTGCTAGGGACCCCGCACCCTGCAACATCTTCGCCGCGCCCCCACCGCCTCCCCACCTCGGAGGGGCGCCGAGGGGAGCCGGAGGCAGCAGACTGCCGGGGGTCGCCCGCCTGCACGAAGCTGCCGCGGCCCCGTGCGCGGCCCTCGGCCCACTCACCTCGGCGGCGGCGGGGCGGGAGGCCGGCCGGCGGAGCGGGAGGAGCGCGGGGGGGGGGGGCAGGAGGTGGAGGGAGAGGGAGGAGGGCGAGTGGGAGGAGGAGGAGGAGGGCGAGTGGGAGGAGGAGGAGGAGGAGGAGGAGGAGGAGGAGGGCGAGTGGGAGGAGAAGCGGCCGGAGTCGCAGGACGAGGGGGGGGGGCGGAAGGTACGCAGAGGACGGGGACGGAAGGCGAGGAGGAGGGTGCTGATGATGACGCTGCTGCTGCTACTGCTGCTGCTAATAATAATGATGATAATAATGATGATGATGATGATGATGATGATGATGATGATGATGATGATGATGATGATGATGATGATGATGATGAGGATGATGAGGAAGCTGATGATAATGATGATGTTGACGAGGAGGAGGAGGAGGAGGAGGATTATGATGATGGTGGTGACGGTGATAAATATGATGATCGTGATGATGCTTATGGTGATGCGAATGAGACTGATGATGCCAATGATGCTGATGATAGCATGTATTATGATCATCATGGTGCTACTGCTGATGTTGATTATGGTGATGGTGGTGATGACGATGCTGATGACGATGATGACGATCAGACTGATGGTAATGGTGACGATAAGTATGATGCTGCTGACAATTATGATGGTGATGCTGATGATGATGATGTTGTTAATGATACTTATGATGATGGTGGTGGTGGTGGTGATGATGGTGATACTGCTGCTGATGGTGATGATAACGATGATAATGATAACTACGAGCATGATGTTGATAATGCTGATGATGACGATGATGATGGTAATTTGTGGTAATATGCTGATGACGACGCTGACGATGACGATGACGATGATGTTGATGATGCTGCTGGTAGTGATGATGACGATGATGATGACGATGCTGATGCTGATGACGATGACGATGACCTTGGTGATGCTGCTGATGATGACGATGACGATGACGATGACGATGACGATGATGATGATGATGATGATGATGATGATGATGCTGATGATGATGATGATGATGATGATGATGATGATGATGATGATGATGATGATGATGACGACGCCGACGCCGACGCCGACGCCGACGCCGACGCCGACGACGATGACGATGATTATGATGATTATGATGATTATGATGATGATGATGATGATGATGATGATGATGATGATGATGATGATGATGATGATGATGATGATGATGATGATGATGATGATGCTGATTGTGATGATTAGGATTCTGATGGTGGTAGTGGTGATGACGATGATGATGATGACGACGACGATCATGAGAAGGATAGTGATGAGGAGAGGAGCAGGAGGGGGAGGAGAAAGTCTTTGTCAACGCATCCCTGGTGGCCTTCCCCGCAGACTCCCTGCTGCTCTTGGTCGAGCAGCTCCGCAGGGCCGAATCGCGCCCCCCCCGCCGCGTGGCCTGTCCACGGCACTTGGGCATCGCAGCCTCTCAGGGTGCGGCTAGCAGAGAGAAGGCGGCGGTGCCCTGGGGCGCGGCGCTGCGCCGTTTCGGCGGGCCGCAGCCGCGCCGAAGGCTGGTGCGAACGTCGAGTGCCCTGGCATGCGGCCGCGCTCGCGGGCCAGCAGGCTCCTTGCCGCCGCCCCCGTCGCCACCGTCGTCGCAGTCGGCGTCGCCGCCGTCGAAATCGTCGCCCCAGCGGTGGCGGCCCCAAGTGCACGCTCGCCGCGCGGTCCGCGCGCGCAGAAGCAGGCCGCCGGCGCCAAGCGGCGCGGCACCAGGCGTGCGGCGCTCCTCAGCGCTGCCCAAGGCGTGGGTGCAGGCTGCCTTTGAGCTGCGCAGCTGCTCAGTGCCGACGGCCCCACAGCTTACAAGTCACACCAGTAGTAACACCATTCGACTCGCAACGGCAAGGAGCATCGGTCTGCCACGACGAGGGCGCCGAGTTCGGTGCACTGGCGCCAGTGGCAGTCCGAAAACTGCTCCCAGAACCGCTGTGCTGAGGGTCGGTTGTTTTTCTGCTTGATCTCGAGATTTAGCGCATTCGGCCATGTACTGGATGCCGTGCAAGGGTGCGCCACGCGGCCCCCGACACGCGGGTCGCCGCGGCATCTCGTGTCGCTGCGGCCGCTGGGTGACCGACAAGGGCGGCCGCTGTCCTGCCTGCCTCGGCACGGCAACGCGAGCCGCGCCAGGGCCCCCTTCCGCTGGCGTAGGCCGCGCGCCTCACCGCACGCCGCACAGGCAAGGAGGGTGTCATTCCTGTGCACGTCGCAGGCGAATCGGCTGCAGGCGTCCGAATGAGGCTCCGCCAAGGTGCTCCGCGTGGCCAGGCGGCGCTGCACGGCAGCTGCTGGAAGTTTATGCGGGTCGCAGAAGGCCGCGTCGAGGGTCACGGCGATGATGCGGCGCTGCTCCGGCGCCGCCTCGCCATCCATTTGGATAAACGCGCGAACATCGCCGTTACTCACCTGGACTCCGTGCGGCGGCTGCACCAGCGAGGTCGTCCGCACGACCACAGCCGAGAAGCATCGAGAGGGCTGCGGGCCCCTCTGCTTCAGCGTTGGCACGGGCACGATGACTAGCCACTTTCGCCTCCACGCAAGGAGTGACCCTAGGCAAGAATGACCATTGGTGCGCGGCTTTCTGGGGCCGCGTGGGGGGCCATATCCACGCGCGCAAGCCACAGCCAGGGGGACCCCTATGGGCCAGCACTGCCAGAGGTCACCTCGGCGAAGGGTCGCTCCACGCATGGCCGACAGTCTCGTCGCCTCCACGCACGCGGCCCCGGCAGTCCAGCTCGATGTCGGGCCGACTCCTCGGGTCGATGCTCGTCCGAGCCCGCCGCCCACGCACGCGGTGCCCTCGGCGGCCACCGAGCACGGCGCATCGAGCACGGCGCACCGCCGCCGCGCTTTCCAGTGCTCCCGCGCCACGAGGGCACTGCCCGCCGCGTGTTGCACGTGTTGAGCAGCGAAGTGGGCCTCCAGCGCCGCCCGCCGCAGAGGCTCGGCGCTCGCCACGGGTTCGCAGGACCAGCGCGGCCCCGCCACGCGGCCAGGCTTCCAACATGGCGCGCGCCAGCGCAGCACCAGGCTGGCTAAGATTTGAATATTCTAGGAGTGTAGGCTGGTTTTGTGCGTGCCCGCGACGGGGCGTCAGACGACGACGACGACGACGACGACGACGACGACGACGACGACGACGACGAAGACGACGACGGCGGCGGCGGCGGCGGCGGTGGCGGTGGCGGCGGTGGCGCCTGCGTCGGCGGCGGCGGCGACGACAACGATACAACGCGACGACCGACGACTCAGGAAGGGGAAAAGCGGGGGGGAGGGAGGAGGAGAAAGGAGGAGGGGGAGTGGGGCGGGAGAAGGGGGAGGAGGAGGGGAGGGTCCTTCTCCTCCTGCGCGGCCTCCTCCCTCTTCAGGCTCTCGTGGACGTGATTGGGCCGTCGTGGGGCTGTCTTGGAGAATCTCATGGGCCGACTTGGGGGCTCTCGGGGGTCCCTGTTTGGGCCCTCTTGGGCTGTCTTGGGGGCTTCTTGGTCGTTGTCAGAAGCACTATGTTCAAACGGTCTCGGGGGCCTAGCGAGGCCATCTCGGAAATCTCTTGGGCTGCGTCTGGGCCACGTTTTGCCGTCTCAGGAGGCGGAGGGCCTCTCAAGGAGGCCGTCTTGGAGTCCTCATGGGGCCGTCCTGAACTGCACTGGTAACCTCTTGGGGTGCAATTTTCTGGGCGCCACACGATATGAATCGTGACTGGTAAGGTACGGGGGCAGTGCCGACATGCTTGAAGATCCCTGGTCACAAGGCGCATGGATGATTTCAGACACACTTGCAGATGGGAGCTCCACTGCGTGCATGCTTCAAGTTTGTGGGCGGGCATCGGTCAATCTTATGTCTTCGAAACTCATCTGCACCATGTAGCGGTCCTGCTCGGAAGGCAACGTCATCGCTACAGAAGCGGAAAGCCAGGAAGACGAACTGCGCAACAGTGGTGGGCACAATAGCACAGCCTCCTCGTGCGTCTGCCAGTGCGGCTCGGCACTACTGTATAAAGTCTGGAAAGTTGTCTGCACCCAGATGATGAAATCCTCGCGGACATCAGGACGGATCCAGGGAAGGAATCTGCCCAATTCTCTGCGCTGGTGACCTCGTCCCCAAAAGATCTCGGTGCAGCCAGTCGCTCGACGTATACACCACTTGTCCGAGAGCACATTGAACCATACAGAAACGCTGGCACCGCACCTGGAGGTCTTCTAAATGGGGTCCGAATAGATGGGGTAGGAGGGTGACGCCGCATCACCGGTGCATCGCTGATGCATCGGCGACGTCGGCGCAGAGAAAATAGGGCCCCACATCGAGCCGCATCGCCGATGCAGCGATGATGCGGCGCGATCCTCCGACCCCATCTACTCGGATCCCATTTGGGAGGCCTAGAGTACCGCTCCAGCGGTACTTGCGGCAGAGCCTCGTCCGGAGCCTTCGAGATAGCGCTGGTGCTGGAGCGCTTGCCGCCCCTCTTGCAGCCCGCGCTCGCTGCTGTCAGCAGCGGGTCTGGCCCGTCCTTGCGGGCAATATTTGCATCCATATCCACTGCGTCTTGCAGTTTCGGGTTCCCCAGAAATCAGAGGCGCAGTGGATATGGTTAGAAATCTAGCTCCTAAAGGCTGAATCTATATCCATATCCACTGCATCTCGGCCTTTTGGTGCCCCTTCCCAGAAATTCCAATACGCAACGTATATGGGTATAAATCTTGCCGCCATCCTGGCGCGAGCCGGCCGGAACAGCCTGCGGCGGAGCCCCGTGAGGCGGCGGCGCAGCTGCCGCGGCCGCCTTGCTGCGACAGGCCTCCGTCGCGTCCTCGGAGCTGCGCTTGCGCGCAGCGCGGGCGGGGTCCCACTCGAGCACCTGGCTGAGCTCGGTGCTCACCTGCTCGGAGGTGGGCCTGGCAGAAGGCCTCGGACTACTGCACCACTCCACCACTGTGCGGCAGCACTTCGGCAAGAACGTGCCGTCACACCAGGCCGGCCAGTCGTGAACAGGCACCAGGCCACACTGCAGCAAGCCTATCACGTCCTCCATGCGCCTGCTATGGAAAGGCAGCTCACCCGTTGCGATGAAATATATAAGCTGGCCCATCGAATATACATCCGTGGCCGCATCGGGCCTCACCTTACTGTGTGAAAAGAGCTCCGGTGCCCTCCAGCGCTTGGTCCCTCCCAAGGGCTGTGCCGAGCGCGTGAGAAGGCGAGACAAGCCGAAATCCAAGAGCTTCGCGCAGACAGAAACACCGTCATCGATCGTATCCGTGCCAGATGGACCCACGGCCATCTCCTCCACGATCACATTTGAGCTCTTCAGGTCGCCGTGCACCACCACTGGCGTCCTCGAGTGCATGTAGCGCAGCGCATTCACTACGTCGAACATGATGCTGATCCTGTCAGTCTGCCTGCCGTTAGAGATCGCAGCAAGACGACCAATAAAATTGGTGAGGGACACGCCGCGCACAAACTCGAGGACAAGGCGAAGGCTCGTGAGACTGTCGTCCAAACAAGCGCCGTACAGAAACACGATGTTCGGATGCCGAAGCCGGCGCAAGATCTGCAGCTCGTTGCAGAAGTTGTCGAGGCTCCGCTCTGCCACCTGAACGTCCTGTTTGGGCGTCTTCAGCGCCACAATGGTGTTCTGGAACAAGCCACAAGTCACCACACCAAAGCTACCCTGTCCCAGCACGCAATCTGACAGGGGTGTGACTTCCGACTCCCTGATCAGCCAATGCTCCTTCTCACCGATCGTGCGCATCGCTGGCAAGCTGCCGTTGCGCGCGATCTGGAAGGCCTGCCCAGACTCGGTCGTGTCAGGACGCGAGCCCTCCGAGAGTGTCCCCGCCCCGATGGTCTCGCCATCCTGCTGCCTGCAGAGCTGAAACTCCGCGTGAAACCTCTGCGTCTTCTCGGTCAGCATGCCCGCGAAGAGGGACCGTTCCTGCCTCTCGCTCGCACGCTTCCCGATGGCCGCGAGCATGGTCAGCCCGAGCAGCGTGGCGGTGTTGAGGCCCCTCGCCCCCGGGACGGTGTTGCCGACCGCGTAAGCGGGGACCGCGTACGCAAGCACGGCCGTAACCTCCAGAGGCAGCAAGGTCACCCATCGGATAGGTGCCAAATGCACTGCGGTGACGCAGATGTCTATCAAGAGTAGGGTGTTTGTGTCCAGAGACGCCATGACCACCTCGGACAGGCCAAATACCGCTCTGGTGTTGTCATGACCTGCCATTCTGCCTACATAGTGGAGAGAGAACGTTGCGAGAAACAGCATCAAAGACGTGAATGATAACACGATAATCATTTCCAGCGTCCGCGAGCCGATGCGGCCACGAAGCGCGAAGGATCTTGCAACGAACAACACAAATACAAACGCGAGGACAGCTCCAGTGGAGAATGCCACCTTCAGCCTCATCAGCCAACGACCCTCGTCTGTTGAAGGACCTGGAACTCGCAACAGAGTCAAGGAAAATAGCGAATAGGCGATCAAAGTCGCGAATGAAAAATTGGTAGCGGAACGAGCCAGGCGCGCTTTGCGGGAAATCGTGAAGCCGTGCTCCCGCTGAGGGTCGGTGAATCTCAATGTAAAGCCACTGACCCCGTCGATGAGATCGTGCTCATCAGAAGCGCCCCAGAACTGCGAAAACAGGCTGTCTGCGGAGCTGCAAACGAGGCGCCACCATCCTGGACAACACCCGCACCAAACGCATTCGCGGGAGGGGAGAGCGGCGGGCATCTCCGCGCCACCAGCCGATATCTCTGAGCGAGCTCGGGAAACTCGATCCACACTGGCCGCGGGAACACACAACTCTCGGGGCAGCTATAACTACCGCAATACCTAACACCGCAGCAAGCGGATTCGATCGGGAACCTGAAGATACAAGCGAGCACGTTACTGCTAGTGCATACTGCGATGGCAACTGTGTAAAGTAGCGTGAAACGCTACGCGTGAGCTCTTGACAAACAGATGCCGCCGAGTCACCCGAGAACCAATCGCGTCTCGACAATGCTACTTCGCCGATGAGCGGCCCGACGGGCAGTACGAAAAGATTCCGCTCACTCTGCTCGGTTAGTTCGACATACATTTCTGGTGTTCTATGCCTGATTCGGCAGTGGCAACCCAAATGAGGGAACATTGGTCTCAGAACGCCGCGGCCGATGAACAGAACATCTTTCGTAGCGGGCCCGGACCAATGCTCACCGCTCTTTTATGCACCCGCGGAAGAAAAACCGCTTCCCGCAACAACGTGCCTCTTTACGCATGATTATTCAATCGGCGGAGCTAGGAACATGACCGGGCAAGAACGGGATGCGTCGCTTTGGTAGTCTGGGTTCGTGGGAACTTTCTGGCGTGTTGGTTTGCCGTGCTGCTCTGTCGTGTTGCTGATCTGGTCTGCCGTGCTGGTCTGCCGTGCTCCTGCGGTCTGCCGTGCTGCTGTGGCATCTGCTGTGCTGGTCTGCCGGCCTGCTGCGCTCTGCCGTGCTGGTCTGTCGTGCTGCTGTGGTCTGCCGTGCTGGCCTGCCCTGGCGTGTGTGTGTGTGTGTGTTTGTGTGTGCATTCGTGTGTGTGCATTCGTTTGTGTGTCTGTGTGTCTGTGTGTTGTGTGCGTTCGTCTGTTGCGTGTTGTGGTTCATGACACTTTGTGTTGTGTACTGTATGGTGTGTGTGTGTTGTGCGGACGTGCTGTGCGTGTTGTGCGTCATGGGTGCTGTGTTGTGCTGGGCGGGCGGGTGGGAAGAAGGATGCGCGGTGACTGGGCGGACCGGGTGTGGGGCACACTGTATATGCGCGTGTGTTGTGCTTGTTGTGCGTTGTGCGTGTTGCGTTGTTTGCCTTGCGAGTTGTGTGTTTAGCGCTGTGCCTTGTGTTGTGTGGTCTGTGCATTGGGTGCGGTGTGTGTGTGTGTGTGCGTGCGTGTGTTGAATTGTGGTGCGTATGGCATGTGATGAGTGGTGTGTGTGTGTGTGTGCGTGTCATGTGGTGTGCGGCGTGTTGTGTGCTCAGCCGTACGTTTTGTGTGATGTGTGTGACGTGTGTGTGTGGGTGTCATGAAATTGTGTGCTGAGGACCGTATTGCATGTTCCTTGCGATTCTATCATGTTTTAAAGCAGTTGTCCAACACACCATGTTTCGAGCAAGTCTCGAAAGACATGCATGTTACGATGGGAAAGCAACGTGTACACACAGACCATCCAGCGCCTGACGTGATGGGGATGTCCCCAGGGAAACACTCCATCGTATGACAAGATCCGCAGTATCGAGACTCGCTCGCACATATCCTTCCTTCGGCCGTGCCTCAAGCGACATGCTGCGTTTGTGCTTCGAAAACAGCGGCACTGGGAACACGCCATGCCTGTGAGGATGCCTCCCGAGAAACGCGCCGTTGCAGACATGCGCCAACCCCGTGGCCCCGTGCGAGCGGCCGCCCGCGTCCTCGCGGCGCGCGCGCGGTGAATTGACACAGACAAGCGAACCTGACATGCAACCAGCAGAGCACGGTCCACGCTTCTCGTTAGGGGGCCACATGCGAACCCTACCCCTACCCCCCCTATCTCGTCCCTCGAACCCACCCACGAACATCCGCCGACCTTGTGTCCCGTCCGATCGGCCGCCCGTGTCCTCGCGGCTCGCGCGCGGCCAAGCGAAACACGTGAGCAACACGGAAGTTCACGGATGGAGCATCGGTCCACGCGTCTCATTCCTTGAAGACGCCGTATGGGTGCCGCTACCCCAACTCAGGAGGTCCCTCGACCTTCACAAGGCCTACCCCCGTGGAGGTGTGGCTTGGGGGGGGGGGCTGCACGAATGCGTATACACGATGCACAACACACGTGGCTGTTACCTTCTGGTGGCGAGCAACGCGTGACCGCCCCAGGCCCTCTGGCCTCGTGGCGGGTGGTAGTCCAACGCAAAGCCACAGGTGTGAAAAGGAGAGGTGAGGTGGAAAGAGAGAGAGAGAGAAACATAAGTGAGAGAGAGAGAGAGAGAGTGAGAGAGAGAGATACATGTATACACCTAGATAATATTCAGCGGGCCAGACGCGACATGGCAAATCTCAGGAAGTGAAACAAACCGAACTAAATTCTGGCCATGGTTCTGGCAAAGCGGAATGAAGACGGACGCACAAAAACAATACTCACCATCGAAGACGCCTCCCGTCACCCGCAAACCCCGTGCATCGCGCAATCGGCCACCTGTGTCATCGCGGTGCGCGCGGGGCTACTTGACACACACACACACACAACAAAACTTGAACCCCCACCAGAGAACAAGAGAGTAGATCTTAACCGTGAGAAGCGTTGCGCTTAACCGTGAGTGATTGAGTGCACGGTGTGAGTGCACGCTGTGAATGCACGCTGTGAGTGCTCGCTGTGAGCCCACGCTGTGAGCCCACGCTGTGAGCCCACGCTGTGCGTGCCCGCCGTGGTGAGCCCACGCTGTGAGTGCACGCTGTGAGTGCACGCTGTGAGTGCACGCTGTGAGCCCACGCTGTGAGCCCACGCTGTGAGCCCACGCTGTGAGCCCACGCTGTGAGTGCACGCTGTGAGCCCACGCTGTGAGCCCACGCTGTGAGTCCACGCTGTGAGCCCACGCTGTGAGCCCACGCTGTGAGCCCACGCTGTCAGCCCACGCTGTGAGCCCACGCTGTGCGTGCCCGCCGTGGTGAGCCCACGCTGTGAGCCCACGCTGTGAGCCCACGCTGTGAGCCCACGCTGTGAGCCCACGCTGTGAGCCCACGCTGTGAGCCCACGCTGTCAGCCCACGCTGTGCGTGCCCGCCGTGGTGAGCCCACGCTGTGAATGCACGCTGCGAGTGCACGCTGTGACTGCACGCGTGGGCTCACCACGGCGAGCACGCACAGCAGCGTGGGCCAACCACGCTGTGAGTGCACGCTGTGAGTGCACGCTGTTGTGAGCGCGCCCACAGCGTGCACGCACAGCGTGCGCTCACAGCGTGCACTCACAGCGTGCACTCACAGCGTGCACTCACAGCGTGAACTCACAGCGTGCACTCACAGCGTGCACTCACAGCGTGCGCTCATGGAGGGCACTCACAGCGTGCAGTCGCCATGTGCACTCACAACGTGCTCTCACAGCGTGCACTCACAGCGTGCACTCACCACAGCATGGGCTCACCGCGGCGGGCACGCGCAGCAGCGTAGGCCGAGTGAGTGCACGCTGTGAGTGCACGCTGTGAGTGCACGCTGTGAGGGCACGCTGTGAGCGCACGCTGTGAGCGCACGCTGTGAGTGCACGCTGTGAGCGCACGCTGCGCGCCACCCGGTGAGAAAGACTGCGAGCTCACGCTGTGAGTGCACGCTGTGGGGCCGGCGGAATTTCGAATGCCTTGCGCGCTAGATTTTTCCGCGCGGTCGATTTCCTCTGTGGTGTGTGTGTGTGTGTGTCTGCGTGCGTTTGTGTGCGTGGTGGCGTTGCGTGTGGCGTCAACCCACCACACGCCACACGCCACACACCACACACATACACACTTCACGCAACACACCACACGCAAAACACCACATGGCACACACCTCACGCAATGCACCACATGCAACACACGACACACAACACAACTCACGCCACGCGCCACACGCCACACGCCACACGCCACACACCACACACCATACACAACACACCGCCCACCGCACACCGAGCGCCGCACTCCGCGCAACACCCGACACACACGCACACACACACACACGCACACATACCCACACACATACCACCACCCCACCACCACAACACCACAACCACCACCACAACCACCACCACTGCCAATGATACCGCCACCACCACCACAATCACAGCCATCACCACTCCCACCACCGCCACCACACGCAAACGCACACACACACACACCCCACACACACACACACCAGAGGAGATCGACCGCGCGGGGAAATCCAACGCGTAGGCAATTCGAATTCCGTCGGGCCCACAGCGTGCACTCACAGCGTGAGCTCACGGTCTTTCTCACCGGGTGGCGCGCAGCGTGCGCTCACAGCGTGCGCTCACAGCGTGCACTCACAGCGTGCACTCGCAGCGTGCACTCACAGCGTGCACTCACAGCGTGCACTCACAGCGTGCACTCACAGCGTGCACTCACAGCGCCCACTCGCAGCGTGCACTCACAGCGTGCACTCCAGCGTGCACTCACCACAACGTGCATTCACCACAGCGTGCACTCACAGCGTGCACTTACCACAGCGTGCATTCAGAGCGTGCACTCACCACAGCGTGCACTCACAGCGTGCACTCACCACAGCGTGGGCTCACAGCGTGGGCTCTCAGCGTGGGCTCACAGCGTGGGCTCACAGCGTGGGCTCACCAAAGCGTGCACTCACAGCCAGACGGATTCTCGAATTGCTTACGCGCTGGATTTCTCCGCCGGTCGATTTCCTCTGTGGTGTGTGTGTGTGTGTGTGCGTGCGATTGTGTGTCACGCGCCACACCCCACACACCGCTCACATACACACCTCACGCAACACACCATACGCAAACCACCAGATGGCACACACCACGCGCAACACACCACACGCACTCACGACACGCAACATACCGCACCCAACACACCACACGCAACACGCCACACGCAACACACCACCCGCAATACACCACCCGCAACACACGACACACAACACACCACACGCCACACGCCACACGCCACACACACCACACACAATGCACCACACACCGCCCACCGCACGCCGCACAACACCCAACACGCACGCACGC